ACAAAAAAATGCGTTAGTCACATACACATAAATGTTATTAGCTTTAAATTGTTACTTCGAGAATTTGGCGGCATTCTCCAGAAATCATTTTACTTTCTTCTATATTTTGCAAAATTTCTTTCAAATTGGACGTTTTTAATTCAGAACGTTTCAAGGCTAAACGTAGGCGAGTGATATCTTTTGTTTTTTCGGATCATTTTAGCTGTAACTTCTTAATTACTTCATTTGCTTTTTGGAGTTTTATATCAAGACTTAATGATTTGGCACAAATGTGTTCTTGCGAAATCTCTGGAGATTCTATGGTCGTAGTTTTGACGTAAACATGGTCTCTGAAAAAGAATCGAACACGTTAGTTAAAGTTAATTACAATAATAAGAGCAAACTGTTTGATTTCGTTAGTGTCATACAATTCGATATTGGAAAGAAGATTTATTTCATTTGAATCGTCAGGAATATCAGAAATGACCTCTTCGTGTTCAATACTCAATTCATTTTGATCGCCATAGATGTTTTCTTCTACAATACTTTCATTGTTTTGTCCATTTACTCTATTAGAATCATCTCGGTACTGCGGACTACTAAAAAGAGACAAATAAATTTTAAATGGATTATAATATGGATTATGGAAATTGTAACACTAGAATAGACATAAAAACTCTTCCGTTTCGGACGAAGCCTCACCTCAAATTGCATTTGTCGTTTCCATGTGATGACATTTGGTTTTGGTTTTGTTCATTGCCAAAATCTGTGTGCAAGTAATGCGTATTATTTCGAAAGAAGGAGGCATCTTCATCCAAAAATTCAACGTTTTCTTCATTTGGATCAATTCTAATGAAATAGAGAGAAATGTGTAAATAATTGGTAGAAATAATGTATGAAGGCATTTATGAAATAGTTGGCACAACATTCGGGAGTAAATCACTTCTTCTTCCAATTCTCCTTATAGAATCTTCATGAAAATGTAGTTCACAGACATAGAATTTCGAAACATAATAATCGAATTGTTGATGTGTTTCAATCGCTGCTATCCACGACTTTTTTTTGCTAGGTTCACTTGGCACACTGAAAAAACAAAGAAGTCTCAAGAAAACTGATGTCATTCAAAAATAAAACTTTATTTGTGTTACACTTACGCAAATAAAGATCCTTCAGAACTACATCCAACAATTTTACACTTATGTCCAGAATTTTTCGCCATTACATAAAATGAATTAGAACAAAAACTAAAAAGATACACAATGTTTGTTTCGGTTTGTTGAATCTTATATGAATCGATGTCAAATTTGAATTTGACACTTCGCTTTGTGCGTAGTGTGATTTCATTGTGCGCCATGGCGCGTCGCTATCGATACGTCATTTCGTGCAAAAAGTCACGCTAGTTGTGCTTGATAAATATGGTGTTTCAAAATTTTTATTAATTATTAAAATATGTTGTTTATTAACATATTAATAGAATATCGATTTTTGACAGCTGTAAATCGTATTAATTCCGTTCTGAGTGAGTAAGAAGATCCTTTGAATTCGTTTTGTCTTCCCCGTGCGGTGCTGCCTCTTTTATACCATTCATCTACTAATAGCTGACACGTGCCATGCAATCAATAATTGATGAATTGTGTTACTTAATTTCCCATTTCCCTCTTCCTTGATTTTATCAATGATCCAAAGGTAGATTGAATATAATGAACTTAGTCTAACATTCCTTTAAATTTCATTGCTAAACTTATTGCAGAGCGTGGCGGCGAAGAAGCAATGTGCTTTTATTTGCACGTGTCCTCATTGCTTGTTATTTACTATCCATTTCTTTTAACTGTTTTTGTTTCGAATAAGAGTTTTTATGCGGTGAGAAATTCGTTTCTTGCTGTCTTTTTTCCCTGTCATTCCATTTCAAAGTTAAATGAACAATATATAAGTGCGAATATTTGAGAAAAGTGCATTCCATTTCATTTTCCATTGATCGTTGCGCAGTTATACGATTATCGTGGTTAGATAGGGTTGTTGCCAAACTTATAAGCACTATTTATATGTAATTTAACCACTGATTTGTGCAAAGAAATCGAACGAAATTGTGTGAAATGACGAGAAAACGTGTTTTTTATGCAAATGGCTTACATGATTTCGAGGATTTTGTGGAATGCGAATCATTTTTGTGTTCCTGAAGAGATAGGAGACAGATACTTCATGAAATGTTCTAAAAAGTTTCAAGATATTCATTTTTTCTTGAGAAACTGGCCTCCTATTTCTCACCAGGAACATATGGAATACCGATTCCCATGTAATTAAGCGCATTTGGCCAATCCCATTTTTATAATCAACAACACATATATATGTACCAGATGACCCTTCATCACGAATTGAACAAAAAAGTCCACTAAAGTAAATTCATATCATCACTCCAATATCACATACACTAAATTACTTTGGTGCACACTTATAGCTGTTGTTTTGTTTCATTCCATCTGAACAAACACAAAAGTGGTGTGTTGGGCTAAAGCTGTTTTCGAAAAATGATTATTCGTTTGTTGTGCGACGTTTCGCTCTTATTAGGAGCATCATCAGGCTGGAGAACAAAAATGTACACAAAAAACAATAAGTAAGTGTTCAAACAATTGGCAACAGCCGGAAATAACCAAATTACGAACCAGTTACATCTGAATTTGAAATGTTTTCGAACGTATTCCATTTTTTTATCAATTTCCACAAATTGTATCAGCTACACGTGTCCATCAAAGGAATTTTGTTATTGAGCTTCATTTGGTGTCTGAAAATGATTACACTGTGCAGTAAATTTCGAAATTGAAATCCCCCCAAAAAGAGTAGACTCATTTCCAATGTTTTTGGGCCCACTTAATCCAAATCTGGCGTTAGTTTGTCCTGGCACGTCTTGTTTTCAAGATACGTTCATTGCTGTTTCCGTATCAGGTTTGGATTGAGTGGGCCAAAAAAACCTTGGAAATGAGTCTACTCTTTTTGGGAGGATTTCGTTTTCGAAGTTTATTGCATAGTGTTATTAGACCTGGATTCATAAATTTCATAACTGAAAAATACCGCAATTCATCAATTATTGATTGCATGGCACGTGTCAGCTATTAGTAGATGAATGGTATAAAAAAGGCAGCACCGCACGTGGAAGACAAAACGAATTCAAAGGATCTTCTTAAGGAGTACAAGACGGTTCTCTACTATCATTGTGCAACAGGTTAAAACTCTGTTTGGTTGGCAAATTAAAATGAATCTACTACACGGTTTGTTTTCGGTGCTATTTATCGTTGAATTTTCGGTAAGTTTTTTTCTATTTCTTTATCATTTTCACTTTTATTCAATAAAGTACGATATTTCTGTAGAACTGAAAATTAACACGAAATTTCTTTTTCTAGGAACTTCAAGGAAAACGTAAGACATTTTTGGTTTTCGAACACGGTTTTTATAATTCCAAAAGATTGTTTCATACTTTCATAAGATTCAATTCGAAATTTCAACTTTTTTTCTAATGAACAGATGGCTTTTTCTCGCAAGCTCTTCTCAAGGGCGAAGTGATTGAAAACATGTCACAGGCAAAGTTTGTAGCTGGAATCCATGTCCCCATAAGTAAGTCTGCTTTAGAATCATTTTCTTTTTTTTCGTGTGAATTTTTGTCCGAAAAATTCAAATATTCTATCAATTTTGCTAGGGGCTGACCACGCTTCAGAAAATTGAAAATAATACTAAATTTTATTATTTTTTTTTTCAAACAATTTATTAGTTACAACTGTGACATTTTTCGAACTTTCTCCAGAAACGATTCACAAACGAATATGCATTTCTGTCGGTTCACTGCCTGAAAATTCATCACATTGTGGTGGTCAAATGTATCGTTCATAGTGGATTATAGATTTAGTCAAATATTTGAGTCAACATACAGATGGTATTAAAACTGAATGATAGAAACGAATTTTGTAGATGAAAAATTCGCGGTTTCCCCTAGCAATTTTGTGTGTGTGTTCATTTTTTCTTTAAATATTATTTCTTGTACTGAGAATGAAACGATTTTATTACAAAATATTTGCATGAACACAAAGACCATCCAAATGATCCCAATAGAAAATTGACGGGTATTTGTACCGCATTTATTCTGTCGAAAACGGAAATTATCACGAATGCCCATTGTGTGGATGACGCCCCATATGTTTATGTGGTAGCTGGTACGAAATTTGTATTAGATGCAAACCAGAAAATTAAAATCAAAGTCGAAAAAGAGAACTTTGCATATCACCCTTATTATAGTCATTTAATTTCTGGTGCATTTGATATTGCCAAAATTACACTGAAAACGCCGTTAGAATTCAGCGATACCGTTGGTAGTATCGGAATAGTGGACAAGGATTACAAATTGAATAACCCATCAGAAGTGGTCACTGCCTATGGATATGGCGTGTTGAACGACAACGAACCAATGATATTGAGGCGTTGCGATGCGAACTATATGTCTGATGTCGAACGAGCCAAGACATTTAACATAATTCAGACTTTGTACTTTACCACTGGTGAAGCTACGAATGATGGCGAAATTATTACATACGGCGACTCGGGTGGACCAGTCGTTTCAAAAACAAATGGCAAAATAGTGGGAATAACAATGGGTACAAATGGAACAGCAGATGGTCGCGGATCCTTCCTTCCAATTACTCTATTTCTTGATTTTATTCATGACCCAAAGGTATCTAATCACAATGCCCCAAAGTTTATTCTCAACAACGCAAACAAAATCATTTTTTGCATTAATTTCAGAGCGTGAAACCAATTCCACCTCCGCTTACACCTAACGAAGCTAAATTTATAGCCGATATAACGGTACCGGCAAGTAAGTGTGCATTCGAAATTCGAACTAAATCAAACCGATTTTATCGTCACTTTTTTTTTTTTAAATAGAGTAGAGGCAAAAGTGGAGATTTTTCATGATTTATAAACATAAATATTCATTCTGAGATGTTTTTCCATTGCAGAATTTCTTACTGCCTTCAAGGATGTTTATGCAGATGCTGAAGAAGATGTTCAAGTAAAATTTAATGCAATCATTTTGTCGGAAACGGAGATTTTGACCTGTGCGCATAGTGTGCTCGGCGCCCCATATGTCTTCTTAACCGTTAATAAACTATCAAGCAATGCGACAAAACTTAAGGTCACTGAAGACCAGATAGAAATTCATGAGAAATACGCATGCTCGGGATTCACATTTGACGTTGCCAAGATAACACTCAAAGAATCGTTGGAGTTCAACGATAACGTCGGCAGCATTGATTTGGTGCACAAAGATTACAAAATGAATGACCCGTCCGAAATTGTCACTGTCTACGGTGATATGGTATTGGATGGAACAATGAGAACGAGGCGTTATGATACAAAGTATTTGGATGGCGCCATTTGTAAACCGAAAGTGGGCGCTAAATTTGATGCAAATCATTTGATGTGTTACACTTTAGATGGAAGCATGGGAACTCCCTTTACGTTTGGAGGTCCAATGATTTCGAAAAAGAATAACAAACTCGTGGGCTTGACCCTATTTCGTTCGCCTAATAAGCCAGTTGTTTTTCAACCGATTGCACCGTTGCTTGACTGGATCCGGAAGCCAAATGTAAGACGTAATCAAGGAAGAAGAATATAGGCTTGAAAAAAGGGGTTTCAGGCGCCTGAAAAAGCTGAATACCGTCTCTTTTTTTGTTCTTGTCATTTTATGTTCAACAAAAGAACCGAATAAATTTGAAAATTTGAGAAAAATGCATTTTATTTTTCATTCGCCCATGCGCAGTTATACAATCTATATATGACGGCCTGAGAAGAAAAACCTTTCCTACAAAACCTGTGCGCAGAACACAAACACAGAAATTTTTTAGTCAAAAGGCGAACAGCAAATTTGAAAGGTTTTTCTTCTCAGGCCGTCATATATAAAAGGACAGTTTTGTCCGTCTGTTCCGGGTTGGGGGTCATTGGAGGTCAAACGCGTAGTCCGACCTGGACATGTCGTATATCGTTGGAAAGGTCTTGGGACGACGGGTAAAATAGGCACCATCATGGTCCATCAGTGATGGACCATTACGGTCCATCGTGGTCGAGTTAATACGACTTAACACCATTTTCACATATGAATAGTCAATATGGGTATCATATGAAAGGCCTTGAAACGGAGATGAACATGGACACCATCCCGGTCCATCATGGTTATGTTACGAGGGGCAAATCACTCTAAATTACTTTCTCTATTCTCGATTTTTGCCTGTTTCCGATCGTCTACATGGGAAGTTTGTATGAA